GATTTTAGTTTCAGTAATGCTAGCAATGTTGATGTTATGGGTTATACAGTAATCCTCCCATGTTTGTTGTTTTAGGTTATCATTATATCCTTGTGTATTATGTGTACATATTGACAGATGAAGTGGTTTGTATGAGTTCAGTGTAGGTGTTTGAGCTATTGGGTTGAAAGATGTAGGTTCAAAGATGGTCTTAGACCAGGAAACTGTATGATTAGATGCAGAAGTAGATGGTAGATTAGTAGGTAGTGATGCTAAAGATAAGTTAATAGTAATTATAATCATCTATAATTATTATATATCAATAATTAATATATATTGCCAATGATATATATTAATATATAACAATTAATTAATATATATTAATTATATTTAATTAATATATATTGATTATTTTTAATTGAAATATATTAATTAAATGCTATATATCAATATATATTTGCTTAAAATTTTTGCTAATGTATGCTCTTGTAGAGTTTAATTGAATCTTAGCATCTACTTTACAGTATATCTCTAGTACTTTAGTACACTCTTGCCTGTTCTTTAGACTTCTAATTCAGATAGCCTATATAGAACTATAACCAGTCTATTAATATATTAAATTAGTCTAATATTCTTTTCTTTAGTTTATAATAGCAGCCTAGTTAGTGATGCCTTCAAGACTTTTAACTCAAAGGTTCTTGCCTCTCTAGTTACTTCAATATTAATATCCATTTTTAGTGATCTAGTTTTTACAATAGTACTATTAAAAATCTGTGTTATCTCTTTATTTAGGTCTTTCCAAATAGATTTTTTGTTTTTTAATTTTACCAAATTTATATAATTACAAGAACTTATCTAATGTTTGCACCAGATGCCAGTTTGCATTTCTTTGTATAATTAGTTATACAGATGTTTATAATCTGTCAGTTAGGCTATATGATTGCCATTACAGATATCTTAACCTAATTATTAGAAACAGTTACTATAATATATATATTATATAGATAATTATTTAAAATTTTATTATTAATAAGATTTCACATCTATTCAGATTCAAATTTAACAATTACAAAACAATCTTTAGTCCCTCAACTAACAATATCTTATCTCAACTAATTGACAGAATGCTATTACTATAATACAATTTATATATTACATAGCTAATTATTTAAATTTTTGCTATTAGTGGTTTTTGAACTCATATCTACTACTTGGAGAGTTAACAACTTATCCACTTTACTAAGTCATCATACTTCTACTAATATAATACTAATATCAATACATCTTAATTATATTAATTCTTATTTCAATTTAACTCATCAACTTAATATTTACCTTATATCTAATTTTTATAAACTTATACCAAGCTGGATTTCTAGCACTAACATTAAATACAAGCTTTTTATTATGCTTATAATATAGAAAACATTAAGCAAATCTAAGAACAAATAAACCAACATATTACTAATTAATGTTTTAAACTTCAAACTAATCCTAAAGCAATGATTAATAGTATACTTAGTCATCACAAGAATCTTGTAAAAATTAACAATATCAAAATACCAAATAATATTATAACAGATTCTAAACTTATCAAAAAATATATTAAACAACACTTCAACAACTGAACTACTTATAGATCTACTGATACTTAAAAATTTAATTTTAACTGATTAGAAGAATACTAATCTAAGACTACAACTAGTCCAAATTATTACAGTTTTAGCTGAATTTTCATTAAATAAAAGTTTTACAACTCTTAGTCAACTCCTTAACAACAAGGCATATGATCCATCTAATATTAGCTATAAAATACTTAAACAGGCAGACACTGCCTTTCTTCAAACAATAACTGCCTTTTTTAATTAATGCATTCAAACTAACTATATATATGAGTAATAAAATGAGAATTGGATCTTTTTAATATCCAAAAAATCTATTTTTAATAAAAATCTATTTAACACAAGACCTATTAGTCTAGTTAAACATATCAAATACTATATACCAAACTTCTTACCAACTATTTTAATTTAATATTTATACAACATCTGATTTTATCTCTTTATAATTATATTACTTTATCTGGCAATAGTACTTTTATTTTATACATATACTTAATAATATTACTGAAATAATAAAAACTATTAAGAGTCCAAAGAACTATATACTGTACTAATATTGTTGATTGTTAATGCATAAATAATTACTGGTAATTTTTTACATATCATATGTGTACATTAGAATAACCAATTATATTGGAGAATTTGTTAACAGACAGATATTTGTATAACATGTTTATTTAACAGTTTAGTCTTTTGAACAATTAAAGATACTAGTTGCAATAACAAACAACTCTGGCTTCTGTCTTAGAATATGAGCAAAGCATATAATTCTGTTAATTTTAAACTTTTTACTAAGTTTCTTGAATGCATATCAATGTCTCAACCTTTTATTAACATACTTATAAACCTTCTTACTGATTGCCAAAACTATGTTATATCTAATCTTGAACTTACCAATTTTTACTTAGTTAAAAATGATATAGATTAAAAAGAAACTATAACTTCTCTATTTTTTTTTTTTGATTTTACCTTCCATCACTATTTTGAAGGTTCTTAGACATCTTTAGAATCTGTTACATCTCTTAAAAGCCAGAGTTATCATTCTGCAAAGATCATTAGATGGCAGATGGCCCCTATATTTATCACTGTGCTCATAAGATAGCTTATGCTCTGTTAAGTCTATCATATAATGTCCTAGGTCTCTGGTTCCATGATGTAGGACCTATTATCTTTATTCAATTCGCAGTTCCCTAACTTCATATAACCTACCAGCCAGATCATTCTTCTATTATTCATTTCTTTATATTATTTTAGGCTAGGAAACCTTATATTAATAATGTTTCTTGTTAGATTTTCTCTTTTCTGAGTGCCATATAACTTTTGTGGCTATGTCACATAACTTATTTATTGTTGTAGTAATCCATCTAAAAGTGGAAAGCTCCTCTTAAAGATCATTTCCAATCGTGGTCCTGGTACAGCTTTTATCTTCCAGTTGGACTCAAACTAGCAACCTTGTGATTGTGACCTTTGGAGCACTAACTACTGTGCTATCGACCCAGAGGTCATAACTTCTCTATTTTGAAAAATCTATTACTACCTTTTAATTAATAAAATAGCATTACAATTTTTAAGATACTATCTGTTTACATTTTGAAAACCAATCTACATTTACTTTAATCCCAATGTTTAAAAACATCTGTATCAGTTTTAGTCTATATAAATAATACTTTCTGAATTACAAAATTCAAAAAAGAATGTAATTTAATAACCAAAACTGCTATGTCTTTTATCAAATAGCTAACATTTAAATCAATTCAACTAAGTCAATTCTAGCTACAAATTTTTCTACCAGCTCTCTGTAGTTTTTTGGATCTCTAATTTATTCTATTTCTAAAAACCAATCATTTAAGTTTCTTAAATGCTGATTTATACTTAACAACAAATATATTCAAATTATCAAACTAATAAAAAAAGAGGCTTTTAACCTTATTAATATAGCTAGTACAAAGAAAATCACAAATAAACAAATTGTATATATTATTAATACATTATTATTCCAACTCTAGAATACAGACTACACAATATTATTCTTCTTTATACAGTATGCAATCAAATTTTATCTAAATATCTTAATATAGAAAAACACAAATTATATCTTTTCAGATCTATACCAAACAGCACAATGCTTAACCCATCCTTATACAACATATACAATATTTGAAATATCCAATTATAGTTTATTAGTATATTAAATCATTCCAAATCTACTATTAATAGTACTAATAGAAATTCATTAAACTTCAAAATTACTCAACTTTTTATTTATCTTGGCTTAACTATTTTAGTTAATTCCAACTTGATCTGGCCTTATACAATTAGTTATAGTTATTGTCTGGGCCTAACATAACAACCTATATGTTACTTAATACTTTAATAAAAATTAAAAAAAAATTAATTAAAAGTAACAATCAATTTGTAAATAAAAAAAGAATTTTTAGTAATTTAAAATTAATAACACACTTTTTCTTGTTAAAATGGTAAACAATTTACAAGAAGAAGTACAATAATTATCTAATCTTTTTAAAGTTACAAATACTGATAAAAATACTAAAAAATAACTTTGTCATATAACCCATTATATAAAAAAAAATAATATTTAAAAAAACCTAGACCAAATTGACAATAAAGATAAACTTGATGAATTTCTCAGTTTGTTTATTACATAGTTAAAGTAAAAAGATAAAATATCCTTTAAAGTAAAGTCAGTTTATAACTGTTATGCAGTCTTGGCATGCTATTTAAGAAAACATAGTGCAATTAGAAGTAGAGTGTGTTTATAAGATAAATATTACTTTTCTAAAGCTTTAAAATGCTTTGATAAAAAAATATATTTATTACAAATAAATAGATATGGTGATACAAATTTAAGTGATGCCTTAATTTCTGATAAAATTACTGCTTGTTTGAATTATAATTACCTTTCAGTTACTAATAATAAAGAATTAACAAGTTGAATTTTTTTTGGTTATCATTATTGTATAGCCTTTATAGAGGAGATACAAATAATTTGCAGTATTATGATGTTGAATCTTGAGCTAATAGTGGGTTACAACTATGATTTAAAAAGAAAAAAAATAATTAGAGTAGAGTTTTTCAATGCAGATGATATAGTTATACTACTGCATGTACTGTTCTGGTTCTTTTTGACAATAATAAAAATCAATTTATATTAATAAAAATTATAATTTTATACTTATCTAAACATCCTGCAGAATGTTAAAATTCTAATCTACTTTTTTTAAAATATGTTAGAAAAGCATCTGATATTTTATTTTGTTGTATAAATTTAATTTCTAACTTTAATTTTTTTATACAATTTTATGTATTTACATATATATTAAAATCAAAAATAAAATTTGATACAAACCTTCATATATGGGTGCAAACAAACTTAAAAAAATGTTACACCAAATTGCTGTTAATACTAGTATTATTTTTGTAAATTGTAAGATCACAAATCATAATGCAAGACAAACTGCTATTATGCTTTTAAAAGCATCTGATATACCTAAAGATGAATTAATAGTCTTTTCAGATTACCAATCACATAAGGGTATTAAGTCTTATAGCAAACCTACAGATGATCAATAGTTAAACTTTGTAGCATTACTTATACTATTTGTAACAATCAAGAAAGATCTAAAAGAATATTATAATTACTCTGGAGAATTTTATATTATATATGAATCAGAAGAAAATAATTTGAATGCTGGTAAAGTTTAAATTAAATATACTATACATAATAAGATTTTTAAATTTTTAACTATGTATATCTAAATCTATAGAAACAACAATATCTAATTCAGATTTAAGAATGTTAGAACATAGTACTACATGTTTATTATTGTTAAACAAAACTGCTAAATTATTATTTATTTATTATTACATATTATTTTTATAAATTTCTGTAACATCTACTATGGCTAGTTCTAAATCTGAAATAGAAGTAACAGCAACATCTAATAATAGTATTATTAATGATAGTTCACAATATAAATTGTCCAAACCTTGCAAAATTATAAAACAATCAAAATCAAGATTAACTATTTTTACATCTTTTAAACTACTAGTCAAGAAAACAAAGATTTCAAATTCTAAATCTAATTTACAACAAAATTAATTTTATAACACTCAGAAAAATCAATTATACAACATCCAAGAAAATTAATTATATAGTATCCAAGAAAATCAATCATATAATGCACAAAAAATCAATTATATTATACTCAAAAAGATTCATAATATAACACTTAAGAAGATTAATTATATAACACTTAAAAAGATCAATCATATAATGCTCAAAAAAATTAATTATATGAATTAGTAAATTATTCAAATACTACACAAAACTATATTCAATCCAGAACTGCTCTTGAATCTGTTACCAACAATATTATACTTTAAATCATACTCACTAACAAACCCTTAACTATAAAATTAAATTTTACATTTCGTAAATAATATAATTTATATTTGCAAAATTTTTTCTTTAATATAAAGATTTTTTTTACATATTAGATATATTTGCTGAATAAATATGATCTTATTATGCATTGCTAATTAATCTAATATATAATTTTAAAATTGTAAAAACCTACTAAAGTTATAATCCTATCCAATTACAATTATTATAAGTAAATACCAATAAAAATAACTAAATCAGAACACTTTTATATTTTATTAAATATAAAAGTGTTCTGATTTAGTTATTTTTTTTAAACATATGCTATAAATAAGTGAAAAAAGCATGTGTTGTTATATAAAACCTGTACTATAAGTAATAATAGTCAACTATTAGAATTAATTCTGTTACAACATCCAAAATATCCAACTTTTAAAAGACAACTTAAACAAACAAACATTATATATCTTAAACAACTCTGCATAACAGATAATAGCATTTTACTTAATTGGAAACATCTTTTACCAAGACTGCTATATTTATTAAAAGACAGAAAACCTCTCTGTTTTCTTATTTAAAAAATACAATTTTAGCATATTCTTATTATCAAAATATTTTACTATATTACCAATTACCTAATTATAACTCTTATGCTTATTATATCATTAATATATTCAAAAAATTCACTAAATCCAAACTTTGATTACTCTTAATCATAATGATGAAATCATTATTGAAAAAATATGAAAATATTTTTCATCTTCTAATTATTACTTTATTATTTACTGAACTTCTAATATAGATTTAAACTATACAAAATTTTATCTTTTATCTTCTGTTAACTGTAAAAAATATAAAAGATGTCATCTTAATTTCTATAGAATTAATTAAACTTGTACTATTGAAGTTTTAGCAATCATATTAGCACAATTTTTTGACAGAACTAACCCAAACCATTAACTTAACCTAAATGTTAATTACTTGAATCTTATTTGCTCTATAGCTGTTAAACATTCAACATGCATTTTGCCTTTATCAAACATTCCTATTATTAACTTTATTACTTCTAAAATCTTTTTTCTAAGCAAATCTACTAACAAACTTATATTTATTTTATATTACAACTCTTTTTATCAACAAGTATCTTTCTATACTAACAGTTTTGTAATTGATATTGGTACTAATCAATGCTCTATAGATATTGGTTAAATCCAAGTTGACAATAATAATTAAATTATTAATTCTTTTTTTGCTAAAATACAATTCTGGCTCTCATCTTACAAAGCAGAACCTTTTTCAATTATTACTGCAATCTTAACAGCCTCTTGAAACTTAGTTATTAATATTTTTACTAACTCTTAATTAGTAATTTTTAAATTCAATAATCTTTAACTTAACTCAACCCATTCTAATAAGTTATTTAAATTTAATTTATAACAAATATAGAAACCCTTTTAAATATTATTAAATTATACATACTACAAATTATTCTTTACAAAGTGCAGACTTATTTAAATAACTATCATAATGAGTAAGCAGATTTTTTCACTAAAAAAATTCATTGTTACTACTTTTTCTATTTAATTACACAAATATTTACAACTCTTATTACATTCTTCAATAGGAACAGCATTTTATAAAACTTTTTACAAAATATTTTATCAAGCAAATTTGTAAAACTCATATTTTATTTATATAGGCATTATAAAAACAAAACAGTAAGTGAACATACTTCAACCAAGATATTGATTAGAGGTCAATTTGGCTCTACTTTAATTACAATCAAAAAGCTTCATACAACATTACTAACTTCAAACTTAATTAGCTAAAATCTTTTAAAACAAAAATTTTTCTTAATAAGTTGCCAACATATTTATTATATTTTACTATTTATCTAAACCAATATTCAGACACTATTTGTTTTTATTGTAACTTATTCAACTTCTTTTCTTACTAGCATACTTGTGCTAACTTATTCTTTCTCAATCAAATTATTCAAACCTCTACTATTCAAATTATCTCTAACAATATACCTAATCTTGATATTTATAATTACTACTAGTATTGTTATACCAAGCAAAATATTTGTTATTAAAATAAGTTTCAATATTACTATTATTTTTTTTAATATTAAGGTGAACTCTTTGGTCTTTTGACTTTTATTAATAACTTTTTTAATAATATGATTTTGTAAACTACAACAAAAAGAGTATACAATTGGCTACATATATAACTTTTTTATATTACCTATTTAAAAAGTCTGCCTGAAGGTTTTTTACTAATCGTTATATCTAACAACTCTGTTTATATATTCTATTTTAAACTCTTTAAACTTTATTTGTATTAAAATTACTGAGTTATACCCAGGTCATCATCTTAATATTAGAACTATTTTATTTTCAAAATAAACCTTTTAGAGCCTACTGTATCTATTTTTATAGCTATCTAAATATTATTATAGTAGTACTAATACTTGTAATTAGAGTTTTTTATTTTTAACTGTTATGTTCTTGTAAAGTTCATTTAAACTTTAGCATCTACTTTACAGCATATTTCTAGTACTTTAGCATACCTCTGCTTGTTCTTTAGACTCTTAATTCAGATAATCTGTATAGAACTATAATTAGTCTATTAATATATCAGATCAGATTAATATTATTTTTCTTTGGTTTGTTCTGACAGTCTGGTTGGTAATACCTCTGATAGTCTCAACTTGAAGGTTCTTGCCTGTTTAGATACTTTGAAATTGATATCTGTTTTTAGTAGTCTAGTCTTTACAGCAGCACTATTAAAGATCTGTGCTAGTAGTTTAGTCTTTACAGTAGTATTATTGAAAATTTGTGCTATCTTTTTACTTAAGTTTTTCCAAATAGACTTCTTGTTTTCTAATTTTAATGAATTTATACAGATACAAGAACTTATCTAGAGTTTGCACTACCTAATGTCAGTTTGTATTTCTCAGTATAACTAGTTAAACAAATGCTTTATAACCTGTTAGTCATGCTATTACAGGTATCTTAATCTAATTATTAGAAGCAGTTGCTATAATATAAATATTATATAGATAATTATTTAAATTTTTATTGTTAATAGGATTTGATCATCCAATATATTACTTGAAAGGTTAACAACTTATTTATTTCACTAAGTTACTACACTTCTGTTTCAATATTATATATTGTTAAGTTTAAAAGATTGCAACTTAGTCACTCCAAAATTCAAAACCTTGTATAATGTATAACAAGTAACTTTTTCGAAAGAGGGTATTAGATTTGGCTTGTGGGTGGTTAAGGCTTTTGGTCACTTTGGGTCAATGAATGCAAATAGGGTAAGTCATATAGTCAAAAGTTAAACAGCAACATTATTAGAAATTCATAAAATTTGTAACGATAATAGTATTAGTGTTTATTAAGTGCAATATAAAATATTAGGATTTATTGTTTAATAAAGCAAATGAAGCATACTGCTTTTAAGAGCCATTTTAGCCTTTATTTATAATACTAAATTTATCACTTACAAATATAACTTTACATTTATTATTTCTTAAAACTAATTAAAACTATTTATAGTAATTTATTTAATATTTTTAAGAATATGTAATTTACCATCACATTCTTCTCTTATTTCTTATCTACTTTTCTGGATTCAAAATACTGTTTTTAATTCTAAATATAACTTATTGCACTTATTGCATTTCATGCATTTTTCATATGATCAGTCATAATATTCAGTATCACAATATTTGTCATCACAATATATTAGAATAATTAAGAAAATTTATATTTATATTTAAAAAAAGAAGAATTATAAGTGTTATCTTGTATATTAAAATTATTAAAATAATAGGATAAAGATGAAGTTAAGATGTTTGTTGAATCTAGTTGATTATAGTGTTTTGAATTTAATTATAAATAGTAATATTTGTAAATAATTTGAAGCTTAATATTGTTTTAAAAAAATATTAAGTACTATAGCATTTTCTGAATAAATAAGAATATTATAGATATGAGATTTGAGATAATTGTAAATCATAATGGTTGTTCTTTTTATAGAAGTTAAGAAATTAGATCAATAATAGGTGTAAAGATTGTAATTACAGAAAAAAAAATTAGTTTTATTAAATATTTTTATTTTTGTAATACTTTCAATAAATATGTTATTATTAAGACAGTAGTCTTATCAAATTTCTCTTTTTGTAAGTTCATTGAAACCTTAAATATTATATATAATAATAGTTAGATAAAGATAATAAGAATTTGAATCAGAGTAAGATAGAGAAGAGTTATAGTCAAAAGAAATTAAATTATAATTATTAAGAAATAGGTTAAATAAAATAAAAGTAGAATTAAAAAAATTAGATCTAAAAAGAAGATTATAAAATATAGATAAAAAAAAGTTATTAGAAAGTTATATAGAGTTTTTGTCTTGAAAATCAAGTTTGGATTATATGATTTATTATGTTTCGTAAAGTCATTTTCAAGACAAAGATTTCATATATGAGTTTCATAATAGAATGAATTAACAAAAAATATAATACTAGATATTGTTTTGTTGTATTTGTTAATATATTAAATTAAAGTTTGAATTATTTGATTATAAGAAAGAAGTAGTAGATTATAATAAAGAAAATTTTGTTAAAGAATGTATAAAGATTATAAAAGATTAAAGATAATTTTACAAAATTGTCTTTTACGGAATTGATTGCTGTATGCTTGGCTCTTGTAGCTGTGCAAGATACTATGTTCTGCTTTGTACATTAGATCTAAATTTTTAAAATAATTTATATATATTTTTAAGACATTGTTATTAAAACCTTCTATAATCTATTTTAAAATTAATCTAATTTTCAATTTTTATAAAATTTATAAAATCTTAATACCTTTTGTTATAATCTTATTAGTTGTTTTCTCTTAAAAGTTTTTATATATTCTTAATTTAGTTAACTATATATAATATAACTTTATATTTAAATCAACTAGTAACTAAGTTGATAAAAATTTTATTTATAAATTTTTATTTATATAAATTATCTGGTTTGACTTTTTTTTTAAATCAATATATTTTTATTTTTTTTTAAATATTAAGATGAGTACTTGTGACCCAGAATTTTATTGATAATATATTTGGCTAATAGTTGCATTACATACAGAAGGCAGCTATGAAAAAAGTATATAACTTGTCACTTGTACAACTTTAATTATTGTCTAATTTAAGTAGTTTGCTTAAAGGTTTTACACTAGCTGCCATATCTGAAACCTGCTTGTAGATTCTTTATTTAAACATTTTAGTTCCTGTATCTACTCATTTACTTTTGTCTACAAATGACCTTAGCTGATGCTAGTAAAAATATACCATGACTACTAAGTCTTTAAAGCAGTTTACTTATATGGGAAACTTTTAACCTTGTACTAAACCTTTTAGAATCTTCTGTATTCTATTCTTATAGCTGATTTGGTATTGCTATAGCTGAGACCAACACTTGTAGTCAAAATATATCATTAAACTAGTATGCTTTTGTAGAGTTTACCCCAACTTCAACACTAACTTTACAACATATTTCTACTACTTTGATATTCAATTCAAGTTCTATTAAGCTTTCAAATTAAATAGTCTGAAAAGATAAATCAGAACTATATTTCTAATTTATATGTTTTTTAGCATATAATCTTTTTCTTTAGAATGAATCTTAGTGGGCTGGTTAGTTTCATTTGGCTTCTTTTCAAAGACCAGCTTTTTGCTTGGCTTCATGAGTTCTAGTTCTGTTTTATAGATCTAGTCTTTACAGTAGCATTATCAAAAATTTAGACTATCTTTCTATTTAGGTCTTTTAAGTAGACTTCTGTCTTTTTATCTGGTTTCTGTGATTTATATAGTCTAAAGGCTTATCATAAATTTATACTGCCTAGTACCAGTTTGTATTTCTTTATACAATATTGTACAAATATCTAGACCTTCTAGTCATGCTGATATGACATAGGTTACAGGTACCTAATCCCAACAAATTATAGAAAACAGTTAACTATAATACAGAAAGAATTGCAAAATTTTGCTATTATTGGAATTTAAACTTTAGATCTGCCACTTAGAGAGTAATTAATATTTTTATAGATAATATTATTAAAGATTATATTGCTTTTTTATTTAGAATTTTCAAGCAAACTTTTTATTATAGTATTTATTTTTTAAATTTGTTTATATAACATTATATGCTTTTAAAGTTAATTTTTATTCGATTAGAATTATAGAATTATAATCTCAAATTCTTTAAATAAGTTGCTAAAGTAAGATTATTTTTTAAAATTTGTTGCCAATAAGATTTAAACTCTGAACCTACTGCTTGAAAAATGATAATCTAATTACTATATTAAAATTATTATATTTTTGCAATTAAGAAATATTAAACTAAAAGTTTAAGTTAAAATATTTATATTAAATATACAAGAATTTAATAAAAATTTATAACAAAATTACCAAAAGTTAAATTTAAAAGGTTAAAATAAATTATTTTAATAAAAAAAATTTGTATAGTTAAATAAAAAAAATTAAAATATATATATTAAATATATAAAAATTTAAATAAAAGTTTATAACAAAATTGTTTAAAGTTAAAAAAAATTAAAAAATTAAAAAAATATTGTATAATTAAACCAAAAAATTAACTTTAGCATATATCTAACTTCTTTTTTTTTATTAAAGTAATTTATTTTTAATTTTTAAATAAAGTATAATTTTATATATTATAATTTAAATTATATATTATTAGCAAAATTTTAATTTTTTTTTTGATTTATATAATTAAGCTATTTAATTAAGTTTAAAAGATCTTTAGCATAAAGTTTATAAAAAATTTATATATTTTACTATAATTTTATTATAAACAATATTCTAAAAAATATTTTAAGAAGTATAATGGCTTAGTGAAATAAATAAGTTGTTAATCTTCTAATAGATTAGGTATTCAAATCTTATCAATAATAAAAACTTAAATAATCACTTATATAATACTTATATTATAATAACTATTTCTAATAATTGTTTTATAATATCTATAATAATGATCATATCAACATAACTGTAATAATGATTATATCAACAGAACTAACAAGTTATAAAATATCTATATAACTAGTTATATAAAAGAATATAAACTGGTATCAGATAGTGCAGACTCCAGATAAGTCCTTATAATTATATAAATCTATTAAAATTGAAAAACAAGAAGTCTATTTAGAAAGACTAAGTAGTAACATAATACAAATCTTTAAAGATGCTACTATAAAGACTAGACTATTGAAAATAGATACTAATATTGAAATATCTAAATAGACAAGAATCTTTGAATAAGAAATAATACCAACCAGATTACTAAAATAAATTAAAGAAAAAAAATATGAGACTAACTAAATATATTAATAGACTAGTTATAATTTTATACAAACTATTTAAATTGAAAGTCTGAAAAATAGACAAAAATATACTAAAGTACTAAGAATATATTATGAAGCAGATACTGAGATTCAAATAAATTCTACAAGAGCACAGTGATTTAATAGTTAAACCTGACTATAAGTATTGATTCTGTTATAATGATACTTAGATCAACTGTAAAAATAAGTACAAAAAAAACTTTAGAAAGTTTATATTGAGAATAAAATAATTCTAAGATTAAGATGATAATCTAGACATGACCTAGTAATTGTCTGGAGTGTATTGATGGACACTTAATTTCTACACATTATATAATACAAAAGTTATGTTTTTGATGCATTTTGATCATGAAAAATTCTTTTTTGATGTATCAGTATTATTATCTTAATTAAATATATTAATATCATAATTTGGAAATTTTTTATCTGTTTGCATGCATGACACATGATTGCAAAATTATTTTTGAACAAACATAACAAACAGGTTATTGATTAGTAACATGAAATTTATAAGATATTTATACTTTATTTTTTATACTATATTTATTTATACTTATTTATGCTCTGGACTTATATCGGTTTCTGATTCCTAGTATTAATATACATTACAGGTTCAAAAGATTTAAAATAAACACTTAACCAGAAAAGTTAAGTATGACAATTGGTAAGAAACCTTTGAGTGAACTTCTTAAATAGGTAATATAGAAAAATTCCATGTGTAGTCAATTGTATACTCTTCTTGTAGTGATTTATAGAATCACATTATCAAAAAATTCATTAATAAAAGTCAAAAGACCAAAGAGGTCACCTTAGAGGTCTGCATTGGGTCTTGCAGCCTGGCTCAGCCTGCAAATTTTTGCGGGCCGGGCCGGGCCTGAAGCAAAATTTTATAATTGCAGGCCAGGCCGGACTGAAAAATTTGCTAAATTTTATAATTGCGAGCCTAAAATTTTGTAAAATTATATAAGAAATTTTTGCGGGCCAGGCCGGGCTGAAGAAAAAATTTAATATATGCGGGCCGGCAAAAAAATGGTAACTCTAAATGCGGGCCGGGCCAGAAAAAAAATTTTAACCCTAAATGCGGGCCGGGCCGGGCCTCAAAAATAGGCAATTCGCAGGCCCCTAGGTCATCTTAAATATATATATATATATATTCTATATATAATAGTCATAAAAATACAACATTTTTATATAATCACACAAAAAAGTTAAAAAAAATAGGACATTAAAACAAATAACCAACCAAATTAATTTAAATTTATATTAAATTTTAAAAAAATTTCTCAATCAAAATTCAAGAAATTGGTCAATCAAAATTAGGCAACTTTAAAAATATCAAAAATCAATGTTTTAAAATAAATTAACGCTTTAAATTTTTAAAATTTAAAAATAGAACAGATGTAGTCTTTAAGTGTTGTACACTGTATAAAAAAATTCCAGATCGAACCGAAAACTCTGATATAATGGGATCGTGACCGTGACCAACGCAGCATCTGTTCATATAATAGTAGGTACGTACGTATTAAACAAATTCACAGCACCCTTCCGTACAACAGAATGTATACTAAATATATTGAAAAGATTTTGTAATAATAATCTCGTTAGAGGCTTATAAAAGTGAGTCCTTAGGAATTAATATCAATATTAATTTCAATGAAATTCTGTAAATTCATGATTTTATAGAGACAGATTATGAAGGTGCAGTAAGAAAATTGTTAGGTATTTACCGAAGGGCAGCACCCACCAACACCATCAAGACAACAATCATCCGCCTGAACGTGAAAAGAAAATACAATCAGTAATACAAATAATTTATTTAACAATATTGCAGAAAAACGGAAAAATTAAGTATATAATACGTTGTAACAACAATATTCAGTAGAGCACAAGTAAGGAGCATTCTGAAATATGTAAAGAGAAAACAAATAATTAGTGACATCAATTATGTTGAAACAAAATGATGAAAATAAAAATGTTACCGAAGGACAGCTAGAAAAATGAAACATTTGTTATAACTTAATGAAAAAAATATATTTGAACAAACACTCAATATGTATCTGAAAAACTTACTAAGCACCACGCATTTTTACATTTGTCAAGGCATGAGTTCTATTTCGAGCAAAGGCAGCACTTTCAGAAGTACCAAGTAAGATGAAAATGATTGCAAATAAAAACAAAATTGCAATGAAAGTCTTCATGGCTTTGGAAATTGTTTTTGTAGAAAATAATTTGATCTAGAATTTTTAAATATTTCTTTACTGACTGATATCTCTTAGAAAGCTTACACCTTTTTTTTTACACTAGTTATACCTTTACGTTTGTAGCGTACGATTTCAAAGCCATTAATTATTTCTGCAAAAAATGCATACATAATACCTAATTTTTGAAAATATTCCATAACGATAAGTGATTATATGCGCATAATTAATAACAACTTAATTTCCCTTATTTTTTCTTGCATAAATTTTGATTTTTTTTTATTTGTTTCTCAAGTTTTGCAAGTACCAGACTCGAGAATTATGCTTTAATAGTGTCAGACCGCCATTTTTAATAATCTAGCCTGGGACTTGCAGAGCTCGCACATTCAATATTGTGAACAGCTTAGACTTTATAATTAAATAACGAAAATTTTTTTATTATACTAGAAAATGCAAACTGTTTAGGGTCCGAATGATTGTACTGTATTTGAATTATCTTTATTCACGTGTTTGGTTATCTTTAATCAACCAATTAAAATTCAGAATTTGTTAACACGCAGCGCCTTTCGGGCAATTAATAATTAATTTTGGTGTACATATGTCGTATCTGAAGTTGCGATTTATCTGGAGTTGCCACTTTAGATATCTAAAGTAGATCTCCGTACATGTAATTCTAGTCAGATGCTATTTTAGATATCTAAGGTGGTAACTTCAGATACAACGAGGGAGTTGTTAGTGGTAACTTACCGTGGTAAGTTACATGGTAAGTTACCTATTTGCCCATAGCTTACCTTGGTATTTTTTACCAGTAACTCACGAAATTTACAACCCCGGATACGATATATATGCTGAATTTTGACAGGGCATAGGATTGATGTTGTTATCATGTGATAAATAACTGAAAAAAAATATTGTTAAGCTAAAAAATTTCGTTTAGATTTGGATTAAACTTAGGTTAAGGTTATGAAGAGCAACAGTATAACAAATTGGGCAAGAAAAAGCGAACGTTTGTTTTGAATTTCTTTACGCTACACGTGATCCTGATTTTTAATTGATTAAAGTGGCTGATTTTGGCCAGCATTAACTGATCGACATTGATTGGCCTAAATTATACTTTAATCCTTCCCAAACGCTTACTCTGAGGCAAGCGTTAGTCTGAGGCACAACATATATATATATATATATGTTTTATTGTAAATTAATTAAAATATAGAAATATGTTAACTATTCACCTAGCTGTCTACGTCTATATTGCAATAGAGTTTGTTTTTTTTTCTTTTACTAATAAAGCAAATAAATTTGATTGATATTTCTAATTAAGGTGAGTACACGGAATAAAATTTTTAATTAAAGTTTCTAATTTAGGTTAATACCTAATAAAGTTTAGTTGAACAAATAAAGTAAATAAAATGAATAAAATTCTAATATTTATTTAATACATATACAATTTATTTTTCTCCTTGCATAATCTAAGTTTAAACCGTAAATCGTTTTATATGTTGAAAATGATTCCGATTGTAAAAATTATTTTAAAGTATCGATATATTTTGGATATCTTGGAATAAAAAAAAAAATTTATAATATTTTAAAAATGTATTATGTATATTTTTAGAATTTTAAAGTATATAAACCAACTCTTATATCAAATAAGCTTACTGAAGTAACGCGCTATTTTGATTATTTGCATACATATTATTTCAAGTAAACGCACATTGTTTCAAACCGAGTTTTCGAAATATGCGTAGCATAAAATTAATTCAATTAATTTGTTCCACATGAATAAATTTCTGTACATGCTATGAATCATATTTTTAATGGGACCAATTTTTGAAATAATGTCCGTACCCGTTATTCATGACAATACAGTAAGAATTGATTATAATTTTATGTTAAATACAGGCTATTAACAGTGTTGATGAATAGAACAATAGAATAAAGAATTTAAAATTTTTGTCAATAAACCAAAAAATTGCCAACAAGATTATAATTATATATTAATATAGCAATAAATAAATAGAACAATAGAAAAATAGAATAGAGCAATAGAAATCAGAATAGAATATAATTTTATCAATAGTACAAGAAATTGACAACACTGGTTATTAACATATGTAAATAATTATATTAAAATTGAAATTATCTTTTTAAAGCTAAATAATATGATTTAGATTTTGTAAAAAAGTATAATACCCTGTATTGTAATAATATAAAATTAAATTAAAAATTCGAAAATTTATTTTCCTGAAATTATTTCTTCAATATTCATTCTGAATTCATTTTTCAAACCTCTTCCTTGATATTAGGGGGTTTCAAAGTTAACGTACTGGAATCTAATTTTGACAGAAATAGATGACGTATTTATTTTCAAATGAGTGATGTATCAATTTTATTTCATTTTTCGATAAATTTGAAATGATGATTTTTGTTATTGAGAACTCTATTTATTTCGTTAAATGGGAATCTCCAGATACCCCATTTCATTTTCCGATTTTAAAATTTTGAAATACAAATAAGTTTTTTCAAACTCTAACATTTTCTTCATTTTCTTTTCTTCGATATTATTATGAAGATTAGTATTCAATTCCTCTGTTCGCATTAATTTAGATGAGTATAAAAAATTTTATTAATCAAAGTATATAAAGAAGCTATTCAGGTTCATGAACATTTCTCATTTTGTTCGCACCAATTTGGTGAATGAGTATAAATTAGTTTTATTAATCTAAGTTTTAAAATAATTATTTAAGTTCATGAATATACTAATTATTAATTGTTAATATATTCAGAATAATTATTCGCATCTATTATTATGCTTTAGATCAAGTTGTATAAAGACCATTATGTAATTTAGTTATTATTTCCATAATGAATTCAAACTATTAGCGAAGTGATAGAGTATGCATGAGGAACGATTAAATTAATGCGAAAAAATGAAATTAAATAATAAATTTTCATAAACCTGAATAGTTTATCTTAAAACTTAGAGAAATAAATATTCTTTATTAACAACAAATCAAATGAAATTGAATAATCAATATTCATTAAATAGATTTGGAGCAATACGTAATAAATATAATTAGGTTTATGACGATAGTAATTTCAGGCATTATTTATTATACTTTAGTTATGATTGCCATACACGTATGTTTGAACTTAAAATGATGTTGTGAAAAGGCATAATTATATTAAACTTGTGCATTGAATCAAATCCACATTGTATTAAATTGCTGGGTTAGTGGCATTGATGGTCATTTCACGACTAGCATCATTTAGAATGACAACTTAGCATACTATTAATGTTAGGATTATTATGTGATATCAGTTAGATGACTTGTCAGTAAAATAATTGTTGGTTAATTCATACTGACCCCAACAAATTTCATAAATCTCACGAACTACATCCGTGAATTGGGAATTATGGAATCTAATACTAAATATATATTGTGAACTTTGACTCGGTCGCTCCATAATCCAAAATCTCGTGTAACCAACGATAAGTAACCTTTCGAAAAAGGGGTGCTAGATTGGCTGCTTGGTGATTGAGGCTTTGGTTACTTAGGTCAGTGAAGTCAGGTAGGGTAAGTCACTTGATCATGAACTTGAACGAACAACGATTTTTATGGGGTTTATAGGGTTTAGACTGGCAATAGTGTTAATGTATTATTATGGACGATGTATAAGATTGGGACTTATTATTTAATAAAGCAAACGAGACATAACGCTCTTAGGGGCCATTTCGGCCTTTATTTATATTAGCCAATTTCGTCTCTTACAAATGCGACTTTACATTTAATATTTAATAAACTATATAAAATTATTTACAATTATTTTCTTTAATTTTTTTTAAGAATGTTTAATTTGTAATTACATCCTCTCCTTATCCTCCCATATATCATTCTACATTCGAAATGCCGTCCCCTATACAAGATGTAATAAATTGCACTTCGTGCATTTTTCAAGTGATCGTGTCACGTTTTGGGACTCACAATATGTACGAAATTTCTGATTCTGGTTAAAATATTTACTCGGAATTTATAAATTCAAGTGTGCAAAAGGTCATGAGACAATGATAGAACTAATGGAGTAGGCAAGTTGTAATTTTCAACGCCCGTAGCCAGGGTTGGCATATTTATATGGAGAAGATCTCCATTGAGGATAATTTGCCAATGGAGTCCAACATGATATATATATTATATATTCTAATTTATAAACTTATTAATATAAATGTGATTTGTTAATTCAACGGAGTCAATGGAGCCAATGGGTACTATCCATTCTCTCCATTGATAATTTAATCAATGGACCTTATCTATTGGCAACCCTGCCCGTAGCTCACCCACAAAAAAATTTCCGGAACGTGATTTTTAGCGAAGGATCAGGTTAGGGTTCTGCAAGTTCCAGGCACGGTGCTGAATAAACATAGTGCCCGGCACTATGTTTTTTCGGCACCATGCTCGGAACTTGCAGAACCTTAGATCAGGTATAACGTGAAAATCACGTTTTTTGGTTTTGTCTATGAAATTGCCTTCTGATTCTATCAAAAAAATTTTGGTATAAACTATGCCCCTCTCTTGACCTTAATCCTAACCTTAAATATGTGGTTTATTGAGTTAAATCTTTTGCTTAATTCGATTGTTTGGATATTACGTTACACCTGATTCTTCGATCTAATTGGCTAAAATCACGTTCCGGAAAATTTTTGTAACAATTAAGATTCGACTCCTGACGCTAAGTAGCACCAAATCTGTGTCCGTACATATTCTAGATAATTCTGAGTTGATCTAGTGTAACATAACGGATTCCAGATTTTTCTTGTGTAATGTATCGGAAGATTAACTCCCATAGTGACGATAAAATAATGAAAAAAAGTGAGGACATAAAGGGTATGTAACATCTTCAAGTAAAATTCGGAGTGTAAACATCCGTAATAAAAAATGAAAAATATAAAAATTACACATCCTGTCCTGTCTCATTCTAACGTTACAAGGATTAAATTCAGAGACAAAATAAATTCCTATTGTTAGATCCTATCATTAAATAACGACCTTAATATTCGTAATATCATTCGGATTTTAATTTTTTGGTCTAGCTTATAATATATACTCAATTTTTTGTACTATAGTTTTAATCTATTAAGTTTAACAATTCGATATTTATCTGAACAGAAAAACATTTAATAAAATTTTGGATTACAGTAGAGAATAGGATTATTCAATAATGAAATTTAAAATTCAAACACAAGAGACACTTTCTACAGCAATTAAAATAAAACGCCTTAAACAAAAGCTCAAGCGTGATGATTGCAAGAAGGATTTAAAAACAAAGGAAAACGGGTTTAGATTAATTAATAAAACACCAGAATCATTTAAAACTGAGCTTGAAATCAAACACATTAACTGCCAGCTTAAAAATCACCAACTTAAATTTAGGCCCGAAATAAAATCTTCAATTTCATTACCTAATAAACTCCGACGAAAGACAAAAAATAAATCTTTGCCAAGCTTCCTAAACCAACCTACCATTGTACCTCAAATTGTTGAGGAGACTAAAGCAAATTCTTATACACAAACCGCTGGTAAAAATTATCCTAATGCATCATTACATTCAAATCGTGATGTTAATGCTAGCATATCAGATTTATTATATTTCCCAGATATTTCTCGATTTAGTTTGAATTAAGAGAGATGTATTCAAAAATTTTCCTAAATCGGATCATTCTTGATTACTGAATTTACTTGTTATTGATAGTACATAGCGATAAATTCTTTTTGCATTGTATATCAACGTTGTTATATACATTTTTTGTAATATTTGCATATGAATATTGGGTAAAGTTATTTCGCCTAAACTTAGATATTAAATTACTTTGTTGCTATCTAGCAGGATAGCTAATATATAAAAATCTTTTTAAGATATATATAAATAATGTATATTGAATTTGTTATTTGTGTTATTATATGTCTTTAATATATAGCTTTATTTTTTTAATTTTACAAATTCTATCTTACTTTCTGATAATTTGACAAAATACGCTGAAACGTTATGAATTCCAAGTATTGGCATTGTAGAACCGTCTTATTTCACAAACAATTAATTCACAAAATAAATTCATTTAATTAATTCATAGTCAAATTTATTTTATAGAAAGTTTGTTCATAGTTAACTATAACCCTTAAAATGTTTGGTATAGATCATATCTAAAGTTAAGGGTTTAATGAGTCGTACTATATGGTTCATGGTTAGTCTTGTCAGTACTGAACCATCTTGAAAATAAACAACACATGAGTGATACCAAGAGAAAACCAGACTTCGACTATACAACGTTTATGTGACCGAAATCTGATTTTCCATAGCGTATCCGTATTGCGTATTAAAAGTATTGTTCATGTGGTTCTTAGGACTCTGCCCATATATAATTTCTCTATTTCCTCTTCATTCACATTCTTTATCTATTTTCTTTCTTATATTTGGGTGATTATAAATATTATATGATCGTTTTTCCTTCACGTCATTTATTTCCTGTTTATGATAAATGAATAAAAAAATATTATTTATTAGTTTATAACCACTGTTTAGCCTGATAAACATATGTCTGCTAAATTGTCAAACATATTAATAAGATTTTATTATCATATAGTTATACAATATGAAAGATATTTATTGTTTCGGCTTTACTAAATCACACCAGTGGTGCTCAACACCATAGTTGCTATATCTCAAAAATGTGCCGGTTTGGAGCATAGTAGAGGACTCAATTTCCATGCAAAATGATCACTTTTAATAAAAAATATCAAAAATGTTGAATTTTTTGTCGATCACGACAGACTAAAAAACACAATATTACTGTTATGATATTTTTATTAAAAATACATCAAGAACGATCATTTTGCACAGAAATTGAGTCCTCTGCTACGCTCCAAACAATAAAAAAAAAACAAAAAGACCTAACTTAAAAAGCACGCTAAAATGAACTTATTCAAGAGTTATTGCAGTTTGAATTCGATATGTTTTTGTTACTATACTATAGTTGATCTATAAAAAATTAGCAAGAAGTAGATTACTTTAAAGAGAAAATGACTAAAAACATGTGATTTAAATACTAAACATGAGAAATTTTACGGGTCAATATACAATAAGTACAAAATATCTTTGGTGCGGTTTGTAATAAAATGATATTTAGAACTTAACAATGATTATTTATTAAATCCTAATTGTTTAGACAAGCTCAACAAGAAAAAAAGACTTTGGATACAAAATGTACTTATGACATTACAGGAGCACGTACAGTGAACATAAAGTATTTTGCAACAAATCCTATTTACTTTAAAAAAAATGACTTAAAATGAAATAATTATTTAGACATGATTCGCGAAAATGCATGAAAAAAAATGAAAATGATAAATGATAAAATGAGACAAATGAAATAATTAAAAATACTAGAGATGACAATTTAAGATAACTATGCTATGAAAAAAATTTCTATTAATGCCTAACCGTACTATGTGGTTACTTTAAACTTTTCAAAAAGAAATTAATACTTTCGTCGAACTAAAGCACGCTTGCCTAAAGCATTGCGTCTGAATTTGCGTCTATAATCACCGTCGTTTCCATAGGAATTGCCACCATAGTAATTGTCACCGTAGGAACCGTCACCGTAGGAGTCATCATCGTGGGAGTCACCGTAGGAGTCATCATCGTGGAAGTCACCGTAGGAGTCATCATCGTGGGAGTCGCCGTAGGAGTCACCGTAGGAGTCATCATCGTGGGAGTCACCGTAGGAGTCATCATCGTGGGAGTCACCGTAGGAGTCATCATCGTGTGAATCTCCATAGGAGCCGTAACCGTAGGGGTTGTCGTCTCCACGTTTACCTAGGGCATTGCGCCTGAACTTGGCTGGGACACTTCGCTTGGATTTGTAGCTATGACCATAGGAACCGTCACCGTAGGAGTCCTCATCGTGGGAGTCACCATAGGAACCGTCACCGTAGGAGTCGTCATCGTGGGAGTCACCGTAGGAGTCGTCATCGTGGGAATCACCATAGGAGTCACCGTAGGAGTCGTCATCGTGGGAGTCACCGTAGGAGTCATCGTAGGAGTCATCATCGTGGGAGTCGTAACCGTAGGAGTTGTCTCCATAAGAGTCGTAACCATAGGAGTTGTCGTCTCCACGTTTACCTAGGGCATTGCGCCTGAACTTGGCTGGGACACTTCGCTTGGATTTGTAACTATGACCATAGGAACCGTCACCGTAGGAGTCGTCATCGTGGGAGTCACCATAGGAATCACCACCATAGTAATTGTCATCATAGTCATCATCATCATGACCATATCCGTAATCATCATCATCATCATCATCATGACCATATCCGTAATCATCACCATCATGATCATATCCGTAATCATCACCGTCATTACCATATCCGTAATCATCACCGTCATTACCATATCCGTAATCACCATCTCCTGGAACGGCAACACGTTTTTCTAAAAAGAAAATATCGTTAAGAGAACAATATAAAATTGGCAGATTATAGACTTAAATATATATATATATTCATCAGTACCATGAGGGTTTGCATCACGTTTCTCTGTATAAAAAAAAGGATATTAGTTATTTTACGAATAAATTTTAGAAACAAAAAATAAAAAGTTCATACTATGTTTTGCTAAAGGTGCAGCAGCAGCAGAGGCCGCGAGGAGAATAGAAATTACAACGGATACGGACGTGAATTTCATTATTCTGTTATTTATTATTGTTATGATGTTTTTATCAGATAATGAATCAATGAAGAAATTTGAAGAAATTAAGTGATGAAGTTTAGAAGAAAGATCGATCGAGATACTGTTTATATACTTTTTGGAAGCTATATAGATTTTATACAACTAATTGATTCTTCTAATTGAACAATCATTAATTCACTTTCATTAATCAAAGCCCCAGGTTTTCTTGATTCATAAAATTCAAATGTTCCCGATTCTCTAATTTTAACGTTTCATTGTCATGTTCTTATGGTTGGTCTGTCTATTTGCTATGAAAGAAAAGCATTTTCAAGAAACGATACGAAATTAGAAAAAGTCATACAAATCACCTAATATGTCAAATTACCTTAACAAAAAGGATTAACAAGTTTGAATTATCGTTATGCAATAAGATCTGGGATCGATCTAACGCATTTATTTACGTATGACGTGATTTTTTTTCTTTTTTCCTTTCTTTGGCAATGAAAAATCTGGGGCATAAATCCTACACTATGGCTATGCTTTAAGAACAATTTCAACAGTAGTAAAGTACCGTGGCTGTGAGCAGACAATAATATATCCTTTTTCACTTAGCGTTAGGCGAATTAAATTTCATAATCGTACGTAAGTATGTCATACATACGTACGACTTCTTTACGGATCAGAATTGATAATTCTTACGTAAATGCGAGATTATAACCGTGTGACTTGTTTTTATTTGCTCAGACCAAGAAGTTCGACCGGATCTATAAAGATATGTATTAAAGCCATTGAATGAAGCGTAGTGCGTGTGTTCTAATGCAGTTTAAAACACTTCATGATCATGCATTGCAATAATTCTCTCAGCTAAGCAACAGCAGAGACCGTTAATGTTGCACATATATTAAAAATGATGAGGGATTATATCCATCACAATTGAATCCAACATAAATAATTTAATTTGTGATTGATCACAGGCGAGAAGGATTCACTTTGGATCGGGCACTGTCTCTACTGTACAGCTAAGCTTTACTGCGTGAAGGAGATTAAATAAATTGAATGGATATAATAATAAATTTATTAGTATAACCTGTAAAAAAAGAAAAAACAAACAAAAAAAATGTGCCAAGACTAACATCGTGGCTGTGTCCGGATTTTTCAAAATGGTTAGAAAATATATTACATATTCAAATGTTGATTGTTTTTTAAATTTAGCTCAGCCTGATTAAGACTAATAAGGGTGGCTTGGGCCATTGATAAGATTAGATAGTACAATAGTAAAATTGATCAAATGATTTGATTGTTGCTAAAATTATACTTCACTTCATACGAGTGAGCAAAACTAAATGGAATCCCGGTACGCACGTACGTAGTGTATATCTGATATGTATTACGGTTATCACGGTTTCTTGGTAAACAATACAAAAAAATTCATTTCATTGCAATAAAGATAGTGAATTTAAAAATAGCTACGTATAGATTCGGAAATACAATTTGGTACGTATGCATCGATTCTCTTTATTGATCTATGTACAAAAAAAACACTATGAGAAGCTTATGCATTACCCAGAAACTTGATGTATAAAGGTTTTAATGATATATCGATATGCACAAAGTTTAGAACCGGTTTTTAAATTCGATTTATTTTGGGCTTGGATTCAAAGATTATACCGATAACAGTAAGATCCTCAAACTGTCTAGTCGTCATAACGTATTTTTTACAGTTAGTGTTCTGCATGGATCAGACCCAAATAATACCATGGTGCATAAAAACCCGAAATACTGGGACGCAGCCAATCAACGTGCATTATTTTATTCTAATTAAAGACCTAGAATCGAATTTTCTAAAAAAAACTCAAACACGGATTCGAGCCGTTAATCGGTTCTAAATCAGTTCCAGGTCTTCGGTTCTGAGAAATACTCACTATCGCTATGTATTTACAAAACCCTCCTTTCTAGCATAGCCACCAAATTCACCTACGTAAGCGCAGATCAAATGATTTCTGCGTAATTCATTATTATAAACGAACTCTAAACGAGAACAGCACATAATAATAAACTGTATGAATATTTTTGAATAGGGTTTCTTGTTTTTAGAACTAAATTGATAAATTTTTAGTACTTTCAAATCCTATTGAATGAATTGTATTGACTGTACCTCAGGTAATGGTCTTAAGAATTTTGTACTTTGCAAAAAATTACTACAGAAATTTTCAACTAATCAAAACTATTCTTAATTTATCCTAAGAAATGTTTAACTGGCTCTAAAGTCTATATAATAACATTTTTCGGATTAGTACAAAAATTTATTCAGATATTTCTAAGTCATTTATTTCATTTTGAGAAGATTTTAAGTTTTTTTTTCAATAAACGAAAGAATAATAAGCCGTCAAATTTTACTGCAAAAAGGGGTATGTATTCAACTATAACGATTTAATTATGCTTAGTTCTAGTCTGCAATTTCTATTTCACTCTAAGAGCTTCATCCGCAAATAAATGAAACAATCGCGATTTTTGATTGTAGCCCCTCATACGATGAATAGTGAAATATTCAATAATGTAGTTGCATTGATTTTATTATTTAATTGACCATTTTGGAATTATTACATTCAAATATTACCTCAATATTTATAAATTTCTCTTCATACTTCTATTTTTCATTTAAACGAATTTAATTTCATTTATCCGGCTCTCGATTTAGAATTTATTACTTGCAGATATATATTACAAATATTATGTTGCTTAAATGAAAGGTCGCTACACCCGGGTGTGGCACCTTACTACTGCGGTGAATCTGCACTTGCCCGGTTCTCAATTTATAAATTATTATATATATTTATGTTTTATTTAGGTCGCTACACCTTGGCGTGGGCACCATATTATTGAGGTAAATATTGATTTACCGACTTTCAAATTTATGTGTTATATATACAGATATTTTTTTTTATCTTCCACTTGTATTATCACACCACAACTATGTATTCGATGCTTACTATACTTTCGTCAGTGACCTGCGTGACTTGCAGCGAGCCATGATGTTATGTTTAAATAAAATAATCCAAGCAAGTATAACAGATTCCTTATGCCCGAATAGATTTTCATTATCAATCTTAATCTCATATATACGGATTAACGGACTATTAATGTTGTTCATCTTTTTTCGCGAAAATAATCGGTTATCCGACACATACTCTTCTTATGTTGCTATTCTATCAAGTTGGGAGGTTTCCTCGATCAGCACTTCTTTCCTTTCCTAAACTACTTTCCACAAAGACTAGGATTACAGCCAAATTAGCATCAAGCTTTACACGAGCTGAAGTTAAATTATTGAGAGTGGATTTCCAGCAGCTTCTTCCGAGGATGTTATCCCTGCCACCGAGGATCCTGGTATGTTTTTTGTCTTAGCATTATTAAAACTAACAATTAATTCGCATATCGTACAGTCACAGTTCCGAAAGAATATCTTCTTCCCGAAATCAACCGCCGTTCTGTCTCAGACTCCAATTTTAACGTTGAAAAGCTTGATAAAGTTTTGAATAATCGAGTCAAAACCTTCCTTGATAAAATGCATGATGTTGTGATGAATTAATAGCATATGGTGCACATAGTATCCCCTGGAGAAGTATCCTGATTAAATAGTACCAGGGTATTATTCAATTGTAAATTCTAACATTTTTGAAAAGTACACCGGTATTAATCAAATTGCCAACGTTTTATTTACGTATGCTTGTTTCAATATTACAATGAAAACCGGATATATTATAATTATAAAAAAATGCTTTCCTAAAACTCTTTCTCGTAGATCACAAAATAATAAGTAACCAAATAATTGGCATGAATATATATAAAAATTTTATTAAGTAAATAAGTTTACACTCTAACAGTTGCTTTTTAGTCCTCTGAGCATACAGTTTATAAACAGTAAAACTAGAAAACTTAGATAAGATTAAAAGAAAATAGAGAAGAACCAGCAATATTCAATAAACAAAGAAAACAAATATGGGTCAGAAGGTTTTCTCGTCAAGACTACACTACAGTTATAAATAAGAAAACAAACAACAAATACTCTTAACAACAGTTCTTTAAGAAATAGAATCAACATTAAGAAAAATTCTATCTACTCTGACACATTGTCTAAAAAAGACAGTTTTTTTTTAAATCTCAAAAAAATGCAAAAAATAAACAGCTCAGCTCACCTCATCAAAATTATATAATGATTATTCAAATATTACTATAAGCAGTAACAACAAAACAGGTTCTATATTCCAAACAAAATTTATATTAGATAATTTAAATCTTATAAATGTTTTAGATACCTAATACAATAATACTTTGAACAACAAAGAATAAACAAATATAGATGATAGTTATATGGATATTAAATCTGTTACAATTATAGATAGCATTTCAAAAGAACACAAACTTCTTATCTACAATTAAATAACTAAAAAGAATATTTTTGTACGTAGTATAATTTAGACTGACATAGAGGTAAACTATATACTCAAGAATAGGTATATAGTATATGTAATAATATACAAACTAAAATTACTTAGTCTTTTAATAAAGATATACAAAACTATAATAAAATTATTATATACTTAAAACAAAAAAAAATCAAATTTACAATATATAAACTATAAACTAAACTAATTAGTTTCTTACTTTAATAATTAAAACAAAATTTATATTTACAAGAGATAAGCAATTTATACTACAACACCAAATTGCATATAAAAATCTGTTTAAAATAACAATTAAAAATTATAAAATATAACATAAAATTACAATTATAACAAAAATATATTTTTTTAAATATTAAAATAAGTACTTATAATCCAGAATTTTATTAATAGTAAATTTAGCTAATAGTTGCATTACAATCACAAAGTATAACAAAAATAATTAGAGATTTATATAAATAAAACTTAGATAAAAAATTATAATCAACTAATTTACTAATATAAATTTTATAACTAATATATTCAAAATAATATACTATCTAATTAAATACTGTA